CCTTCCTTCCTTCCTTCCTTCCTTCCTTCCTCTCTCTGATGGACATAACATTTTAAAATCTCAAGAGAGGTTCCTAGCAATCATAAATATTCATCGTGAGCTACTAGGAAGCCAACAAATTTGGCTCAGAGTTTAAAAACCAAAACTAAAACAGATTCAGAGGATGGCCAGAATACAGAAGTGATATTATTTTGGCCAAGAAGTCTCCGATGTAGAAAGTATCATTGTTTACATTAAAAATACAAGGAAGATTTACAATTATTTTAAATTTAATCTGGAGTTGCTTTGGCGAGAGAGGCAGTTCTAGAAATAAATTTAAAAAAATTCATTCAAAATGAGGATGATTCCCCTTATCCCAAAGTATAGACAGAAATTCTGTTCTGCCTCTGTACTCTCAGTGAATCCAATATCATCCTGCCATTTTGTGTGTGTGTGTGTGTGTGAGAGAGAGAGGGATCTTCCTTTAATATAATCTGCACCAAAGCCAAAAGTGATAATAAAAATCTGACATCTCCAATAAAATACAAGAAAGTGTTGAAATGGTTTCATACAGTGCCACTGAATTCAGCTGTACAGAGAGGTGAATGCAAATACTTCTTGAAAATTCCTGTCTAAACAAGTCTGATTATTACTTGACTCTCAAATGTTTTCAGACTGGTTTCTCTTAGGAGACAGCTTCAAAGTCCTCTTCTTCCTCCTCCTTTGCAGACATTACTTGTGTGCAGGATAAATCTGAAAGCCAGATTTGCACAGACCCCGCATCTTTAAAAAATCCTTCAAAACCGGTTAACAAATGTTTAATGTCAGGGGAATGTTATTGACTGTGTAACTGTAGAGTAACTGGATGAACTCAACTGCATCAGCTCCAGAACATTTGCATAGCCTTGCTGCAACCAGGTTGGTGTATCTTCTGATAAAAGAGAAGGTCTTGGGTTTCACCAGAGGCTGGAAGAACTTCTTATAAGTAAGAGGGGCAAAATTTGTGGCCAAGGGAAAGGCTTGGTTGCCACCTGGTTGATATTGTGCTTGGTTCTTAGGGATGGCAGTCACGCCTTCTTTTTTGAGAGACTGAATGAAAGAGGTGGGAATTGGAGATGCCACAGAGGACAATTCAAGTGAATTTTCACATCAGGGGCAGGCAACCTTTCCCTGTAGGGAGGTGACATGGTGGGTGCGGCACAATGGTGGGCAGAGCTGAAGCTCAAGCTTGGTGGGACCCATTCTAAAAGTAGGTGGAGATCTCCATTCTTTTGGCCACAGTTCTCCCCACTTCTCACATTCCCAAATACCATCTTCTTCTCTCCCAGTCTTCCTCTTTTGGACAGACTGTAGGGAAGGAAAAATTCATGTTCACAGCAGTCTGAAAAGAGGTCTTGTTTTAGAAACTCACCAAGCGTGTGTCAAATGCAGCAGAGCTGTATCCAAGGGCTGCAGGTGACCCATCTTAGCTTTGCTTGAAAAACGCTACTGCTTTTAGGGTTGCAACTAATCTTCTGGCATTGTAAATAGGAATATGGAATTTTCGAATGGTTCATATGAAAAGCAGTAATTTCCAGGATGATTAATTAAAAAAAAAAAACAACTCCTGATTTCAGTCACCATTCATGTTCCTGAAAGAAAGAACAAGGAAGTCAAATATTGATCTCTCTGTGGATAAAGGCTGGCTAAAGATCTGAATGTTGGTTAAATGTCACATTTTTGTAATACCCAAAGAAAGTTAAACCCTAATCTGAAATCCTGAAGGTTTGGCTTCTGATTCTTTGTTTTTTAGGCTATGACGATGCAGCAGAAACAAACTTGATCTCCCACCCCATTCATTCGGCCAAGCTGTTGCAAGAAAACCACCCCAGGTCTATTCGCAGAAAAAGAAGTGTTGGTAAGAACTGGAATTTTTTTTTTTAAATGCACCAAGGTGGGGGAGAATCTATGGAAGGACTTTGTGGCTGGGGTAGGTTTTTTTTTTTTTAAAGCATAAAAGAGGGGTGAATATTTTGTAAATCAAAAGAGAAGAGGTTGCATGCTATTTTTTCTTCTTCTTTTCTATAGCTCGGTCATCTTCCAGTGCTATAATATGCTGAAAAAATGCTTGACATTCAGTTTTCATGTTACTGCATGCTCCTGGTGAAATCCGAGTGAGGGAATGTGGTGCTGGGTTGTTTTAGTTCACTGATTTGCAACAACTGGGGTTGTTTAAAAAATGAATGAAATAACAAGGCAGGAGAGATTGCTTGCTGGCCCTTTGTACGACGTGTTGCTCACTTTCCCTCCTGATGGGGAAAGGCAAATTTCCTGCTTTTCTGTGTTGGATGTGTTGCGATCCCAGCTCCTCCTAAGGACAAAATGTGTTCCATAGTTATTCATCCTGTGGGGAGTCTACCTGTTGTATCTCTGCTGGGGTTCTGAGCTTGCCTCCTTTTCAGGCAGAATGTTGAGATCATGTTGAGTGGTGAAAAGAATACTTATTAAGATAGAGAAGGCTGACTAAAGAGGATTGGTCCCTTCTGAATAACCTTGGCATCGTCAAAGATCCTAAATTTACTGGATGGAGATGATGATGATGAAGATGTTGATGATGATGATGATGAGGAGGAGGAGGAGGAGGAGGAGAGAGCCTTTATATACCTTCCTTCTTCTGTAGAGCTCCAGGGCATACATTGGATTGTCCACAAGGTTTATCTTCAAAACAATCCAATGAGATAAATTGGGCTGAGAGAGAGTGTTCTGTGTGCTGTGTGATCAAGTGGCAACTTGAACCTGGTTCTTTCCAGTCCAAGACCAACAACTTCTACAACCATTCTTTCCACTTTTAGGAACTGGTTCAGCCACCTATTTACGTCAGATGCAGTCACTGCCAAAATATACAGGAATGACTACAATACAGAGCCCATCTTATGGAATGAATTGCCACCAGAGTTGAAGAAATAGTAGTAACAGAGTAGTAAAGTCAACTGTAGAATAAGAATATTTCCAGACCTTTTAATGCTACTTGTACAAGTTTGGATATTGTTCTTACCATTTTTTGTAAAGCAACCCAAAGCTAATAAGGGATGGAGCAGGACAGAAATTTCCTAAACCAAATGAATCAATAAAATAAGAACAGAGTTGCCTGATCTCAAATAGCTCTACAATTCATCTGAATTTTCCCCGCCTTTCCCCAAGCCCTAGGGCAGTTTTTGGTAGGTGGATCCAGAGATGGCAGGATCGAACCCGGGGCACTCTATGTGCAAAGCAGATGTCCTACTCTGGGTCCCACTCCTCCTCTCCCATCGCCCTTCTCTTTTCTCTTTTTTACAGAGGAAGCCATTCCTGCTGTCTGCAAGACACGGACAGTCATCTACGAGATCCCTCGGAGCCAAATCGATCCGACATCTGCAAACTTTCTGATATGGCCCCCCTGTGTGGAAGTGAAGCGATGCACTGGATGCTGCAACACCAGCAGCGTGAAGTGCCAACCCTCGCGGATACACCACAGAAACGTCAAGGTGAGGGGAAGCAGAGTCCTGTCCTGGGAGGGCTGGGTGTCCCACGTCCTTGTCCTCCCCTGAAACTTAGCAGGAAGCCCATCTACTGCAGAGAACCGTTCACCTTTTGGACCTGAGCAGCTGAGCGACCACTGTTTCGTCAAGGCTTGCCATCGTATGGAGTACCGTGTCCCTTTTAATACTCTCAGCAGCCTAAAACTGAAAAGGATATTGTGTGGGTTTTATTGGTAGCGTGATCCTTGCAGAGTCACTTTAGAAAAGTTTATTAAGAGGGTGGGGTGGCAGGAATTCCAACAACGGAAGTATTTGCTCTGTAAAATAAGATATCCGCAGCTCGCACTTGTCTTTCTGTGAACCAGCAAGTCTCGTTACTGATAATGAAAGAGCTTGCCACTGGCTGTTCACACTAGTGTTTCTCAACCTTGGCAGCTTTAAGATGTGTGGACTTCAACTCCCAGAATTCCCCA